GAGGTTTTTGCCCCACTGGAAGGAAACCTCTGGGCAAACTCAAGACAATATATCCTTCAGCTTATGCAAAAATACGATATGTATTTCACTGCTGTAGAGCCTCCTTTTACAGGACAAATGTTATCATATCAGAACCATTGAAATCTGTGAATAATTTGCACCTCTTTAAAACAGGAAGTGAGCAGCGCATAAGGATGATGACGCGTTATCAAAATATAGCGATGGGCTATCGCTGTACATGAGTCACAGGCAGTTTATTTTTATTTTTTATTTTCGCAAAAATGAACATCTATTGGTATTTCTTGTTACTGTACCATTGCTTGAATCTGTTCTTGGCGCTCGGCGTTCCATCGTTATTTTGCACAACATATCAGCCGAGCCTTTTTTTTTTTTTGTAACAAACTCACCATGTAAAACCCTTTCACACAAATTACACAAATGATTGGCAGATTGAGTTAGGCTGCATGGTTTACGTATCAAACCCGTCCAGTTTACATCAGCTTAAAATAAAACCCAGAGAATTTACCAAAAAAACAAAAAAACAAAAAAAAAACAAAGAATGAAACCAAGACCAAACAAAAACAAAAAATTACATTAGGATTTCTAAGGCTGTATTGTTACAAGTAGCGTGGTGACAAGTCTGAGATAAAAGAGAGGAAAATGGGCTTCCTTTTGAGTGTGTACTACAGATTTATCTGCACTGTCTGGCTATCTTGCTGTTCTACAGCAGAGGAAGCAAAACATAAGACACACCCTGCAGTATAATGCAAACCAGTACAGCACTATGGGACGTCTTTTATTTTTACAGTATATTGAGCCGGTACATCTGGAGCATTTTTTTAAATAAAGGTTTTATACTACAAATCATTAATAGGCTTTGGTTATTATGCAAAACTGCATTTATCAGTCAAGACAAGTCAGATGTAACATATTTAGTCTTTTTTTTTAAATAAATTCAGCCAGACTAGTTAACAATCTCTAGAGAAGTTGTCTCTAAACCAAAGACCTTAACATACCAGTTGTTGCTGCAGACAATAGTGTTATCAGTTACTCCACTGTGCCCCTCCCCATACATTTGTGACAGTCGATAAAAAATATGCTAACTTTATTGCAGTCTTATAATCGATAAAGTTCTATTGACACTTGCAGCAGCAAGTAAATAGCCAGACCACTGAGGTACTGCAGTGGCTGTTGGTGAGCATTATAATGTAATGGTTTTTACTTCATATCCATCCTCTGTCAATACAAAGCCACAGTAGAAGTCTGAAAATCACTTTTGGTCAGAGAATCGTGTTTAAACTAAAGTTTAACATGATTTTAGCTGATTTTTCTTTCTCTGTGTCTGAGCTAAGTGAAAAGAGAATAACTTGCCTGCCGCTGCAGTCTGTAGATGACACTGATTATAACAAGAATCAAGAATCACTGAAGTTACACTTCTTGCAAAACAATTGAAGTGTTCATTCTGAATAAATTTTACTCACAGATGAAGCTCCTCGAATGGTTTATCATTTTCGTTGGAAATGTCAAGAATTCATTCTTCAGACTGATGTTAATATAACATTTGAATACAAAATTAAAATAGAATAATCTCCTTCTAATCTATTTATTTAACCTCCCTTTGGGATCAATAAAGTAGATCTGAATTTGAATTGAATTGCGACCATGCAACTGGAGGAGTTATGGGGTAATCGCAAAGTTCCATTGGTTTTGGTATGACTCTTCTGACACAGCTCTGACTCATTTCCAGGAATAAGCTCATTTAATTAATCTGGAAGTGATTTACCCATCAATAATTGTTTTAAGAACTCATTATTATGCTTCCCACGCGCTCTGTGAACCCCAGCTAACATGACTGAATACCTTTTCCTGGATCTCATTAAAGCTAAATGTTATAGGAAAGCTGATTTCAGCCGTCAGGTTTAAGTCCTGCAGAGCCGCAGTCACAGACGTGGACTTTTTATATTTAGTCGGTGGTCCACGAGCGCATTCTACCATAAGAGCGTCGGGTTTCAGGCAGCCAGAGTGGAGGAGAATCTCACAGCTTGGCACAACCCCCCTCACCCCCCAACTCTGACGGCTGAAAAGCTGGTTCCGAAATAGGAGAGGTGTCCAAGTCTCGGGCCTGTAGGTTTCACTGTCTCGTAGCTTTGTCGTGAGCTTGTGAGGAAGTGGCACCATTCTTTAAATACACGCCAGGGGACAGGAGACGCAGAAACGCGGAGCAGGTGTTGCAGTCGGCCCCTCGTCCTTCGTGAGCATATTTTGTTATCGCACCTTCTGTTTCTTTATTAGGCCGAGTGGGAGGCGAATTGAAAGAGAAGCGAAGGGAGGCGGGGGAGTAGAGGAGGGGAAGGGAGGGGAGGGTGACCTGTTTTAAACTCAGCGCTGTAACCACGGTGGTCGGCGTTGAATTTCAAACAAAACATGCGAGACGGGGGCCGAGAGGCGACGAGGGGTTGTGGGGCTCAAAAGAGGGAGGAAGAAAGAAAGAGCGTCTCAGGGTGTTTGGAATTCAGCCTCAGACGTGGAGCTTCAGTAATCCTCCCCAGACTTCAGCCCCTCGGCGGCATGGAGAGCTGCACTCCAGCAACGACACCAAATTGTTTGTTTGTGCGAAGCAGCAGCTGTTTGGAGGACAGGATCATGTACGACATGATTAGAGAGATTATGATAATCAAAGGTAATACTCACTGACATAGCTCCCTGTGCTGGCCGCCTCAATCACTGTTAATAGAAATACTAATAATAATATTACTGACAAATGAAATCGTCAGCCTTAAGCCCTTTAGTTTATCAGGGCATCGACTAAACGGAGAGGAAGGCTTTACTTAAAAGTGCTTTAGATGTTTTGTTTGTCTTTTATTATATAAAAGACCATAATAATAAGCTCCTGTCTTTTAATTGTTGGATTGGAATAAAAATGTTTACATTTATTGGTAAAAAACAATAACATGAAGGATTTTGGATTTTTTTTTTTTTACAATCAACAAAATATTAAAACTAAATCAACTAAAAGAAAAAAAAACATTTCTAGAACCACCTTTCACCGCACTTAGAGCTGCGAGTCATTTGGACTACTGCTCTTTACGCTTCCCACATCTAACAACTGAAGGTTTTGAAAAGTAACTCCAACGTGACTTTACCATTCACGTTGGTAAAGTCTACAAATGTAGACTTTGCAGCTCGTCGATTTTCCTATCATGTGGATGAGTCACTGTCAATGGTCTTCACCCGTTCACATTTATGTAAACAAAACTTCAAAGACTGAAGGAGTTGGTTTGAAACCTGGAATTTTATCAACTATTTTTTTTTAAAGATCAGAAGCAGAAAAATGATTTAATGGTGGGAAGTGTTGTAAGACGCACTTTGCATGAAGATGCCTTCTTCTTGAAAGCGTGGCACTTAAATTATTTTATTTTTGTTGGGTTCCAACTTATATTTTTGTTGTTGTTGTTTCTTTTTTTTTTTTTCAATTTTAATGCAAAAATTGGATTTGATTGGCTGTTTTGGATTATGTTGAAATGAGGTTCCATCATCTTTTGTAGAAAGTTGCCATAGCAACACAAACTTGTTGATGGAAGAGGTACATTCTTACGGGTGGTGGAAGCTAACACATGGAAACTGTATCAATATAGAAGTTTTTTTCTGTTTATATGCATCTTAAATTACTAAAGTTAAATGTCTGACAGCCTGTTAGGAATCCACCAATCAGTGATACATTTTTCTACCAGAAGTGAGGGAAGTGTTACCCACAACTTCGAAGAACCTCACTTGAAAAAAATGTAACTAACCTTTTAAAACAGGACTTTTATTTGCCCAACTTTTATATGCCATTAGTTTTTGATAAACCGCTCCGTTGTAACTCTGGTTGAATATTTTTGTTGAACTGCTGGAAGGTGAACCTTCACTCCAGTCTCCAGTCGTATTCTCTGAATTGCTCTGCCCATCTTTCCATCATCTTTGACCAGTTTCCCTTTCCCAGCTGAAGAAAGTCATCCAACATTTCCTAGAGGGGAAAGTGCTGTATTGTTGTGTACATTTAAATGTTTGGAATATAGGCAAAAACGTTAAAACTGGATAGGTTTGGTACGTCCCCCTACATCTAGGGTAGCAAACATGGCCCACATGGTCAGTGATGAACTTTGAGTGTGACTTCATCACTAATAGATGTCATGTCAACACATTCTTCCATCCTCTCATTTGCTAGTTGTTGTCCTAGTTTAAGAATTATGCACCAAAATATAAGAAACAACAGATATACAATGTAAATACACAGGCGCTTTCTCTCTAAAATTATTCATACCGCTTGTACGGGTGAGAATTCGTTCATTTTTGTTGCAGTAGTATCATCCTACTCTGAAAATCTGATAAAGATACAACCTTCGGTTTGTGAACAGAAATAAAAACCTCGACTGTGTGTGACGACATCCTGTGTGGGCTTCCTCACCTCTGCATCTGACTGCCCACAAGTTGTCAATAACGCTCATTTTCACCAGTTTTGCTTACTTCAAAAAATATTCCTTTACATGAATATCAACACACACACACACACACACACACACACACACACACACACACACACACACACATGCACATGCACACAGTGTTAAGACTGAAAGGTAAAACAACTGATAGTGGTACAGCAATACTAACAAATGATGGAATATCTTCAAGCTTTTGGACTGAAAGAAAGTAAAGTCGATCATGTAATGCAAGGCTTTTTAAAATACCAAAGTAGCATTGGGTTAATCATCACCCAGACTGGTCATTTCTAGACANATATATATATATATATATATATATTTGTTCTGAACGCGCGGGGTATTTTTTTTTTTTATTTATTTATTTTAATGTAACCTACAGAACCTCGCTAGTGCGCATAGGGGTGTTTTCAATGAAGTAGAGGATCTATATGTTCCTCCGCCGCTCAACAAACTCCATGCTTCCACAATAGGGACCATATTTGTCTCCACAGTGTCGGTGGGGTGTGAGGGGGAGGAAAGAGCTGTTTGATGCTGCATAGAAACTAACGGCGCAACCTGCGGGCGAACAGTGACGCCGTGCGGCCGCATCCGCGAAGGACGCAGCGCAGCGCGACCAGCCGCGGAGACGTTTCTGTTTTTTTCCGCTCCTGTTATTATCGCCACAGCGGCTCGATCCGACACAGCACCATAATGGAGACCAAACCGGTCATCACCTGCCTTAAAACGCTCCTTATCGTCTACTCCTTCGTGTTTTGGGTATGTAGCCTCTCTTTTTTTCCCTCTCTCTCTCTCTATATATATTTTTTTTCACTCCCTCACCTTTCCTAACCGAGAACAAATCTTGCCGCTCCGCCTCCGCCGCTGCTGCTGTGCGTGTTTTTGTTGTGCGTGATGAAAGGCCGCTCGGTCCCAGCATCAGCGATGGATCCGTGCTGTTGACTAAACCCCCAAACCCCCCCGCCAAAAAAAGAAAAAAAAATCACGGACTGAGACTAATAACGCCGCGACTCTGTTTTTAGCGTTTGGAATCGCCTGCAGTACCTCCTTATGTAACCGGGGGTCTAAGGTTGCTCATTTATTGGCAGCTGGGCGTCAGCGCGTTTTATCTCACACTGTAGCATCATGGTCGATGTGAGCGAGGTGGAGGGAGGAAAAAAAAAAGATTAAAGAGCAGCATTGAAGGCGCTGCATAGGAGACTGGCCTGTTTTCAGTAGGATACTGTGCATTTTAGTGTTGCTCCAATACATTCTTAAAGGGCCGCTTTATTTACCCAGCCTCAGTGCTGGAATGTAACACCGTTAATATAACCCACTTTCACTTTGAGTGGGATTATCCCCACAGGAAATCTCTGCTTACACTACCATCATTGAATATATATTGATTGTAAAGCTACAAGCTACTATTTTATGCTAACATCTACCAAAATATGACACTACGTATAGGTCAAATACATTTTAATGATTGGGTTGCTTTAACAAAAATAGGTTGAGATTTATAAAAAAATAAAAAATACAGCATCCTAATAAACATTAATATGCTACAGTTAGATCGAATCAACAATGGTAGTGTCTATAGTCCTTCTTGGACAAATAAGTTGCAGATGAGGTGGAGTTAAAAGTGAAGCCAGCGTGAATATTGTGCTGTTAATATCCCAGCATCACCTCAGTGTCGGTGTGTGAACGAGAAAGAGACGAGACCAAAAAAAAAAACAAAAAAAAAAAACAGAAACTCAATCTGGGTACACAACTTTCCCAGTCTTCACAGATTTTGCAAACACTTGGAGTTTGAACTAACAGGTTTTTGCTGTTTGTTTTTTTTGTTTTGTTTCACAACTGAAAAAAAAAAGAGAATCAGACACTTAACTGCACCTGCATCCCAGACTTCAGGGTTTGTCAAACCAACTAAAGCAAAGGTCTAACTTAATACACCAGTTGACTGTTTTGAGTTTCCACCTACAAGACGATGTCGATTCTTTGAAAACTAAATCCGAACTAAGTCACTGGTGAAATAACCTGTTTTACTTTAGAATTTGATGAAACTTTTTAATTTAAGAGGATGCCGAGCTTTCTTTTTATACTTAAAAAAATGCATCTCGTTATTTATTTTAGATGTAATTCTCTCTACTGTGTGTGTTTTGTTTTTTGCTTATCTCTATTATCACTATGCGTTTTGCTGAGTTTGATACAGTAATTTATAAAGTTGGGTTATAGTTTGTGCTGTAGCCCCTGTAGTTTTGAGTTTATGGTCGTATAGTTACAAAAAAAAAAAAAAAAGGTTTGAAAAAAAACCCCCTGCAGCTGATGTTGTGTCCTATCCAGACTGATTGTGTATTTTCCCAACTGGGAATTATGGGTAACGATGGACACAAAAAAAAAATCTGATCATTTGTCTCCAGCCTACGACAAATCTGTCATCTGGTGGAGCTTAAATTAGAGTTCCTGCTCCGTCACATCAAAAGGGTCTACTGTTGTTTTGGTGTCTGATCAGGATGGCTGGTGTCTTTTGAGGTTTTTGCCCCACTGGAAGGAAACCTCTGGGCAAACTCAAGACAATATATCCTTCAGCTTATGCAAAAATACGATATGTATTTCACTGCTGTAGAGCCTCCTTTTACAGGACAAATGTTATCATATCAGAACCATTGAAATCTGTGAATAATTTGCACCTCTTTAAAACAGGAAGTGAGCAGCGCATAAGGATGATGACGCGTTATCAAAATATAGCGATGGGCTATCGCTGTACATGAGTCACAGGCAGTTTATTTTTATTTTTTATTTTCGCAAAAATGAACATCTATTGGTATTTCTTGTTACTGTACCATTGCTTGAATCTGTTCTTGGCGCTCGGCGTTCCATCGTTATTTTGCACAACATATCAGCCGAGCCTTTTTTTTTTTGTAACAAACTCACCATGTAAAACCCTTTCACACAAATTACACAAATGATTGGCAGATTGAGTTAGGCTGCATGGTTTACGTATCAAACCCGTCCAGTTTACATCAGCTTAAAATAAAACCCAGAGAATTTACCAAAAAAACAAAAAAACAAAAAAAAAACAAAGAATGAAACCAAGACCAAACAAAAACAAAAAATTACATTAGGATTTCTAAGGCTGTATTGTTACAAGTAGCGTGGTGACAAGTCTGAGATAAAAGAGAGGAAAATGGGCTTCCTTTTGAGTGTGTACTACAGATTTATCTGCACTGTCTGGCTATCTTGCTGTTCTACAGCAGAGGAAGCAAAACATAAGACACACCCTGCAGTATAATGCAAACCAGTACAGCACTATGGGACGTCTTTTATTTTTACAGTATATTGAGCCGGTACATCTGGAGCATTTTTTTAAATAAAGGTTTTATACTACAAATCATTAATAGGCTTTGGTTATTATGCAAAACTGCATTTATCAGTCAAGACAAGTCAGATGTAACATATTTAGTCTTTTTTTTTAAATAAATTCAGCCAGACTAGTTAACAATCTCTAGAGAAGTTGTCTCTAAACCAAAGACCTTAACATACCAGTTGTTGCTGCAGACAATAGTGTTATCAGTTACTCCACTGTGCCCCTCCCCATACATTTGTGACAGTCGATAAAAAATATGCTAACTTTATTGCAGTCTTATAATCGATAAAGTTCTATTGACACTTGCAGCAGCAAGTAAATAGCCAGACCACTGAGGTACTGCAGTGGCTGTTGGTGAGCATTATAATGTAATGGTTTTTACTTCATATCCATCCTCTGTCAATACAAAGCCACAGTAGAAGTCTGAAAATCACTTTTGGTCAGAGAATCGTGTTTAAACTAAAGTTTAACATGATTTTAGCTGATTTTTCTTTCTCTGTGTCTGAGCTAAGTGAAAAGAGAATAACTTGCCTGCCGCTGCAGTCTGTAGATGACACTGATTATAACAAGAATCAAGAATCACTGAAGTTACACTTCTTGCAAAACAATTGAAGTGTTCATTCTGAATAAATTTTACTCACAGATGAAGCTCCTCGAATGGTTTATCATTTTCGTTGGAAATGTCAAGAATTCATTCTTCAGACTGATGTTAATATAACATTTGAATACAAAATTAAAATAGAATAATCTCCTTCTAATCTATTTATTTAACCTCCCTTTGGGATCAATAAAGTAGATCTGAATTTGAATTGAATTGCGACCATGCAACTGGAGGAGTTATGGGGTAATCGCAAAGTTCCATTGGTTTTGGTATGACTCTTCTGACACAGCTCTGACTCATTTCCAGGAATAAGCTCATTTAATTAATCTGGAAGTGATTTACCCATCAATAATTGTTTTAAGAACTCATTATTATGCTTCCCACGCGCTCTGTGAACCCCAGCTAACATGACTGAATACCTTTTCCTGGATCTCATTAAAGCTAAATGTTATAGGAAAGCTGATTTCAGCCGTCAGGTTTAAGTCCTGCAGAGCCGCAGTCACAGACGTGGACTTTTTATATTTAGTCGGTGGTCCACGAGCGCATTCTACCATAAGAGCGTCGGGTTTCAGGCAGCCAGAGTGGAGGAGAATCTCACAGCTTGGCACAACCCCCCTCACCCCCCAACTCTGACGGCTGAAAAGCTGGTTCCGAAATAGGAGAGGTGTCCAAGTCTCGGGCCTGTAGGTTTCACTGTCTCGTAGCTTTGTCGTGAGCTTGTGAGGAAGTGGCACCATTCTTTAAATACACGCCAGGGGACAGGAGACGCAGAAACGCGGAGCAGGTGTTGCAGTCGGCCCCTCGTCCTTCGTGAGCATATTTTGTTATCGCACCTTCTGTTTCTTTATTAGGCCGAGTGGGAGGCGAATTGAAAGAGAAGCGAAGGGAGGCGGGGGAGTAGAGGAGGGGAAGGGAGGGGAGGGTGACCTGTTTTAAACTCAGCGCTGTAACCACGGTGGTCGGCGTTGAATTTCAAACAAAACATGCGAGACGGGGGCCGAGAGGCGACGAGGGGTTGTGGGGCTCAAAAGAGGGAGGAAGAAAGAAAGAGCGTCTCAGGGTGTTTGGAATTCAGCCTCAGACGTGGAGCTTCAGTAATCCTCCCCAGACTTCAGCCCCTCGGCGGCATGGAGAGCTGCACTCCAGCAACGACACCAAATTGTTTGTTTGTGCGAAGCAGCAGCTGTTTGGAGGACAGGATCATGTACGACATGATTAGAGAGATTATGATAATCAAAGGTAATACTCACTGACATAGCTCCCTGTGCTGGCCGCCTCAATCACTGTTAATAGAAATACTAATAATAATATTACTGACAAATGAAATCGTCAGCCTTAAGCCCTTTAGTTTATCAGGGCATCGACTAAACGGAGAGGAAGGCTTTACTTAAAAGTGCTTTAGATGTTTTGTTTGTCTTTTATTATATAAAAGACCATAATAATAAGCTCCTGTCTTTTAATTGTTGGATTGGAATAAAAATGTTTACATTTATTGGTAAAAAACAATAACATGAAGGATTTTGGATTTTTTTTTTTTTACAATCAACAAAATATTAAAACTAAATCAACTAAAAGAAAAAAAAACATTTCTAGAACCACCTTTCACCGCACTTAGAGCTGCGAGTCATTTGGACTACTGCTCTTTACGCTTCCCACATCTAACAACTGAAGGTTTTGAAAAGTAACTCCAACGTGACTTTACCATTCACGTTGGTAAAGTCTACAAATGTAGACTTTGCAGCTCGTCGATTTTCCTATCATGTGGATGAGTCACTGTCAATGGTCTTCACCCGTTCACATTTATGTAAACAAAACTTCAAAGACTGAAGGAGTTGGTTTGAAACCTGGAATTTTATCAACTATTTTTTTTTAAAGATCAGAAGCAGAAAAATGATTTAATGGTGGGAAGTGTTGTAAGACGCACTTTGCATGAAGATGCCTTCTTCTTGAAAGCGTGGCACTTAAATTATTTTATTTTTGTTGGGTTCCAACTTATATTTTTGTTGTTGTTGTTTCTTTTTTTTTTTTTCAATTTTAATGCAAAAATTGGATTTGATTGGCTGTTTTGGATTATGTTGAAATGAGGTTTCATCATCTTTTGTAGAAAGTTGCCATAGCAACACAAACTTGTTGATGGAAGAGGTACATTCTTACGGGTGGTGGAAGCTAACACATGGAAACTGTATCAATATAGAAGTTTTTTTTTGTTTATATGCATCTTAAATTACTAAAGTTAAATGTCTGACAGCCTGTTAGGAATCCACCAATCAGTGATACATTTTTCTACCAGAAGTGAGGGAAGTGTTACCCACAACTTCGAAGAACCTCACTTGAAAAAAATGTAACTAACCTTTTAAAACAGGACTTTTATTTGCCCAACTTTTATATGCCATTAGTTTTTGATAAACCGCTCCGTTGTAACTCTGGTTGAATATTTTTGTTGAACTGCTGGAAGGTGAACCTTCACTCCAGTCTCCAGTCGTATTCTCTGAATTGCTCTGCCCATCTTTCCATCATCTTTGACCAGTTTCCCTTTCCCAGCTGAAGAAAGTCATCCAACATTTCCTAGAGGGGAAAGTGCTGTATTGTTGTGTACATTTAAATGTTTGGAATATAGGCAAAAACGTTAAAACTGGATAGGTTTGGTACGTCCCCCTACATCTAGGGTAGCAAACATGGCCCACATGGTCAGTGATGAACTTTGAGTGTGACTTCATCACTAATAGATGTCATGTCAACACATTCTTCCATCCTCTCATTTGCTAGTTGTTGTCCTAGTTTAAGAATTATGCACCAAAATATAAGAAACAACAGATATACAATGTAAATACACAGGCGCTTTCTCTCTAAAATTATTCATACCGCTTGTACGGGTGAGAATTCGTTCATTTTTGTTGCAGTAGTATCATCCTACTCTGAAAATCTGATAAAGATACAACCTTCGGTTTGTGAACAGAAATAAAAACCTCGACTGTGTGTGACGACATCCTGTGTGGGCTTCCTCACCTCTGCATCTGACTGCCCACAAGTTGTCAATAACGCTCATTTTCACCAGTTTTGCTTACTTCAAAAAATATTCCTTTACATGAATATCAACACACACACACACACACACACACACACACACACACACACACACACACACACATGCACATGCACACAGTGTTAAGACTGAAAGGTAAAACAACTGATAGTGGTACAGCAATACTAACAAATGATGGAATATCTTCAAGCTTTTGGACTGAAAGAAAGTAAAGTCGATCATGTAATGCAAGGCTTTTTAAAATACCAAAGTAGCATTGGGTTAATCATCACCCAGACTGGTCATTTCTAGACATTATTATGACTCTTTCTTCTATACCTGGTCTGCAAATTTATGCAAATTTATATGAGTGCCCACATTGTATCGCAACACGTTACTGAGGCCCTTCACTAAAGATGCAGGCAGAAGAGACAGTTGGTAGCCTCTTTTGCAATGTGTCAATAAATGTTCAAACACTCATCTGTTGACATATGCCTGCAGATCCAGCTGCAGATTCTCAGTTGGATTTAGGCCTGAACTTTGAGTAGGCCATTCAAATACATAAATATGCTTTAAATCAAACGGTTTCGCTTAGATGTAAACCTCCATCCTGGAATGCTTTGCAACCTCCAACATGTTTCCCTCCTGAATTTATTTATGTTTTATTTTGATTACCGTTTCTTTTTGGTACAAACCAAAAAGAAACATAAAGTGTATTTATTTATGTTGTTTTTTTGGGTTTTTTTATTAGCGTTTTTGAATGTAAGCCAGAGAGATTGAGCCTCATCTGACAAAAGTAGCCTCTTCCATATTTGCTCTTCCCAATAGAATCTAAGATGGCTAATTTTGAAGAAAGCCCGCCGAAGCTATAGACAAAAATAAATGCGAGAAGCTCCGGCGCGTTAAATAAAAATAATTCTGTCCCCTTTTGTCTCTAAACAGCACAGTTTAGAGAAAGGGGCCGTTAAAAGTAGGGAGGCGAATGTCACGCTCACATCAGTTTTAAAGGAGCAGAGAACATTAGCGCCGAGCGTTCCCTTTGTAATCAGAAGGTCTGGCAGCTGGATGCTGAGCAGCCTCGTCTCTAGCAGACAATGGTTAGCAGGATGAGGCATCCCTCGCCGGAGTCGGATCATCCGCAGCCGTTCACCGCCCCGCTCTGTTTCCAGCGCCAGCGAGACAAGCCCAGCTGAGACACACGCTGCTTCATCTGCCTCGAACAACGCGCTCTTTTATCCGCCGCATTCATTTGAAATGCTAAAAGAGGCGCAACAGGAGGAAGCGTCTCGCCTCGGATCAAAGAGCTCCTTTGATTTGATGTTCTCGTGCGTGAATGTAGGCATATTCACGGAGCAGGTGATTGGCACCTCGTGCTCCTGATGATTTTCCTTTTTTTTCTTCTTCCTGTCTGCTATCTTCCGGCTCCTCCTACTACTATAATTGCTCTCCTTTTTGATCCACCTTGATCCCCATTTCTTCGTCTCTCCCCCTCTGCGTGCCGCAGAAACACAACTGTTGAAATAAGTGCCGAGAATAAGGCCTCTCCTTCCCTGCTCTCACTCGGCTCCCTGTGCCATGTCTCTTTCAACCGTTTAGATAACGGGAGCCATCCTGCTGGCAGTGGGAGTCTGGGGGAAGTTGATGCTGGGCCCGTACATCTCCCTGATCGCCGACAACTCGACCAACGCCCCGTACGTCCTCATCGGCACCGGGACCATCATCATCGTTTTCGGCCTGTTTGGATGCTTCGCCACCTGCAGAGGAAGCCCATGGATGCTGAAGCTGGTAAGAACCTGCAGGTGTTGCTCTGCAGTAAGAGTGAGAAGTGCTGATGAATTAACCTCAGGTCGCACAACCTTTATCCTGAGTGAGGATATGAGTTGCTCAGTAGGTCCTTCTGGGTAACTTGTTCGCTTAACCGTGGTTATGTGAGAGTAAGCATCGAAAGGCAAATGATATTCACCTCAAGGTTTTCATGTTATCAATGCAAATCTCCTGCTTTTGTTCCTCTTCGTGCAGTACGCCATGTTTCTCTCGCTGGTCTTCCTTGCGGAGCTTGTGGCGGGGATCTCTGGATTTGTGTTTCGTCACGAGGTCAGAGTCGCTTCGAACTGCAGCTTTTGCAGTTCTGCAAGTCTGTGTCGACGTGTCGGACTAAGTGTGTGTTTGTGTTTTTGCAGATCAAGGGAACCTTTCGCAGGACTTACACCGATGCAGTCCTGAACTACAATGCCAAGGACGAGGCGAGCCGTGCTGTTGACTACTTGCAGAACAGTGTGAGTGGTAACATAAAGCCGAGTCACAGACTCGGAAAATGATTCTGTCTGCCGTTTAAAAGGTTGGTTACCTTTGATGAAGTGCTTTACGGCCTGCCTCTTAATCACACAGGTATATGAGATATAGTAGGCTAGCCTGCAGTACACTCAAAAACGTTTTGAAATGGAGACTTTGCAATTTCGAGTCAAATTTACGTGGAATTAGGCTACAAGGATATCTTGAACTCAAGGTCTTGGACTCAAGTTGTGCTTCAGCCAAATGAATCAGATCTTAGACTTACCCTCAGAAGATTCTCCACCTAGAGTCTATGTCTGGCACTCCATTGTGGGTCTTAGTCTCACAAGGACTTCAAACTTGAATTATACTTGTGCTCTAATGACTTGAGTCTCAACTTGGACTCACGTCTATGCTGCACAAGCAAAGAGTTCAGACTTGCGTTAGACTGGTGCTCTAAAGACTTTTGTTTTAACACCAAGCTCAGGCGCTTGGGTTTTCTAAACCATGTTTATGCCGTGCAATTGGGTGGAAACACACCAGTGAGCTAAGATTATTTGAGTAAATGATTCATTTGGTCCTCTCTGAGTCACCGTATTGTATACAAATTATTCTGGTTGTCATGGTAATGGTGCACACAGTACGTATGGCTCTCTGTATTGTTTGACGGCATGTTCAAGTTAAAGTAGTACACATCACCTTCCAATTATTTAGTTAATGCTACCATGTAGAAAGCAGATTGCAGTTTTGGCAGAGACGTCCTGTTAAAGGGGTGTTTTACTTATTAGCCAGAGACTTACTAAAGGTTTTTAACAACCTGTTTGTGTTTGTTGTAAAATCATATCTATGATAGAGGAAGACCGGAGGAAGGTGCATATCCATAAACGACAGCACCATAGTCCCAGAAAACTCTTAAAAGTTGTCAGTACTAGTGTGTTTTTTTATTGTCGAATTTTTGCCTGTATGACTCAGAGGAATAAGGTTTTTTTTGTTTTGTTTTTTTTGTTTGCTTTTTGGGTTTGCAGCTGCGTTGCTGTGGAGTTTATAACTACACCAACTGGTTTGGCAGCGTGTTTTACCCCTCCAACGGTATCCCTGCCAGCTGCTGCTTTAACTCCTCTGATTGCAACCCAGACGATCTCCGCAATGCAACTGTAGCGCCAAGCAAGGTCTACCACCAGGTAGGTTCTGACTGTTGACCTTTTTGGGTTTTTTTTTATGCTTTTCCAAAAATAAATGAATCTCTTCAAACCTCCCGGCTTCTCCATAAACTAACAGCTGCCTCAGATTCTCTCCAATATACCCGTCTTGCCTTTATTTTGCGCATATAACGTGTCCCTGTTTCCTGTGCAGACTAACATGCCCCCTTTGTTTCAGGGCTGCTTTGAGTTGGTCACTTCGTTCATGGAAACCAACATGGCCATCATTGCTGGTGTGACGTTCGGGATCGCCTTCTCGCAGGTTGAGAAAAATGTGCAAAACAAATAAATGGTTCATTGCGATTTGCAGCGGTTCATCGAAGCTCACTTTGTGTTTGTGTGTGTTTTTGTTTGTTTGTTTGTTTTCAGCTGATTGGCATGTTGCTGGCCTGCTGTCTGTCCAGGATCATCACAGCCAATCAATATGAGATGGTCTAGCTGATGTGACCGTGGCAGGTGAGACGCAGTTATTAAACTTAAAGCGCATCTCCAAAAAAAAAAATTAAAAATTAAAAACAAACTACTCCAACACTAAAATGTTCTTTATCTTGTCAGGGAGATGGAGAGAAGAAGAGACAAAGCGTCTTGTCGCAGGACTGAAACGAATTCCCAAAACTCCCATCACGCAGCTGCATCGGAAGCTGCCTCCGTCCGTCTCTCTGCCTGTGATCTCATTGTAATATCTTTATGTAACTTATTGTAAAGCACCATTCCTCGACTCGCTGCAGTTGCATCAAAGCTTTCTGTACCACGCACCACATCGACGCTTGACGTAAAAGTTGGCTCATTGGCATTTTTTGTTTTTTTTTCTCTGATCGGTGCGGCAGGGGGAGCAGAGCGGACAGCGTCAGAAGGGCATTACTTAAAAAAAAAATCAGAAAGTAACCCTTCCATTGGTAGGTTTAGTTTTCCATTTGTCGTTGCTCATCACTGTGTATTCCTGTAGGGGTCGTAGTCTTTTGTTACTTGATTATGTGCACTAAGGAGGAGATGTTATGTTGCTAAAGGAGGCGAAAGGGGAAACTGCTGTAGAGTATTTTTAACCACGATAATGAGAAATATTTTTTTGCCCATAGTATATGAAATTTAGAAAGCCAAATAAGTTAACAAATTACTTTTTAATTCTCACTGTGAAACAAGAAAATGCATTTTTAGGCATAAGATGGGTAAAAAGGAACTAATATTGAAGCTATTTAGTCAGTTTTACATGTGAAATTTATTAATCAGAGTTTGAAGAGCCCATCAAACCTAATGTCGACACCAAACATAATCTAGGGAATCTTTATTTAGTGGTATCATGAAAGTTACAATATTAAAACTTGTCACACGGTTCCTATGATTTAAAGAAACAGAAGGGAAAAACTTATTTCTGGTTATTTTTGTCATCCTTCCTGGCTTGATCCAAACTGACCTTGTTAAATATGGCAACTTGCACCTGGCATTAAAATCAGGCATGCAAAATTCTTGCAGTTTTAGATATAGTTGTGACCAGGTCTCTTCAGACTCTGAATGCATTTTGGGACTTAGCCATACTTTTGTTTCCGTTACCATTGTCGCCTTGCGCAGGCACCTACGTAGGACACTGTCAGATAAAAAGAACAACATCTGACAATCACTGTTTGGATCTGAACGTACGTAGTTCATGTTAGGACTTTGTCGTGTGGTCGGTAGGACGTGGGAAGAGATTTAGATCGTAGGATGCTGCTCGTCGATCCGAGAGTATAGTTTTTAGCATTTTTCGTAAAGTTTCTGCTAAGCTTTGGTAGTGTTTACATTTTAGCCGTTGTCGACAATTTTCCTCTTCGAGCGATCGGGATGTTAAGTCATTTTCTTCTGGTGAAACATTCAGCAGTCGGTCTGTCTGCGAGCGGGGAGATCAGTGGGAATCACTCGGCGAACATCGACGACTTACGGTTGTTCTGTGTAATTCATCGACCTGCTGCTGCTGCCATCATCATCATCGTCCTCATCTGTAGATATGTATGGGAAATGTAATTTATATGACGTGTTGTTTCACAATCTAATATGCTAATCAGTATAACTGTCGTGTCACGGTTTTTCAATCCACATCAAGCTCTGAGTCAGTATTTGTTTGATAGTTTGTAAGAAACTTGCACTGAGAAAAAAACAAAAAACAAAAAAAACTAATAATTGTGGCTGATGTTTAGTTGAGAAATAATGCACACTTTAGCTCTAAACTTATTATGGTTTGTTGGTATTTCGTTTACAGCTTCGCCCAGATGTTTTCGATCTCTCTTTTTATGTCTGTGTGTGTGTCTGTGTGTGTGCGCGCGCGTGCGTCTGTGAGTGTGTGTGCGAGCATTTAGTAGACGTTGTGGCTCCAGCTGTGATTTTTTTTTTCTCTTTTGTTTTGTTTTGTTTGGTCAGTATTTAATTGTGGCGTTTCCTTATAAAAATCTGTACATTTGATTTGTGAATGTATGTTTTCCTGCGCTCTCTTCTCCGAACTTTTGTTCTGTAAATACTAAACTGTAATACCATCCAGCTTACACTAGGGGTCACTAGAGGCCCAAGAAGAACCGCACCATGCTGTCTACTACTGACTAAGTCACCATCAGTGGTCTTATTATCAATAAATATACAGAATAACAGTTTTGCTTGGTGTAAATTAATTTCTGCCTAGTATAGATTGCTTTTGCATGGCGACACAGTCATTTATTGTCTATTCAAATCACTTTGCATATAGAAAACCTGCCACTGCAACACAAGTGAATTAGTTTATCACATCAACACTTTATTCCTGTGATTTTTTTTTTTTGGGGGGGGGTGGAAATCTTTACTTTTTGCTCCTTATTTAAAATATTATTTGGGATGTACAGGGGTGGCAACATGAGGTTGCAAAGGTATTTTGCTGCAGACGTCATAAGACGTCCATAACGTCTGTGGAAGAAATGAACCAAAATTCCAGCAAACTATAATGTGAAGCTTGATGAAGGACATGTGAATGTTTTACTAAATTTGGATTTAAAATAGTTTATTTGAGCTAAGATATTTACAGCTTAAGATGGTTTTACAACAAAGTTTCTCCACTTACCAAGAACCCCTTGGCATTTCCGGTTAGCTGACCTTGCCTCAGCCTGCAGGTTTTTTCAGGATAGCCATGGGTGGGTAGGTTTTCATGTTTCCCCCTTAATTGCGCAGATCCAACATCTTATCACTGACACTTCAACGTTTTGAATGATGGACTGAACTACTGAAACCTCGTAGAGCGTCTCCGTCTACGTCCAAACAGTCAGAAGGTGAGAGGCAACACGGACTCTTATGAGGACAATTCAGAGAAACAAATTGACCTGTAGATAGGAGGAAGATGGAGCATCCAGTGAGAACTCACGCATGCATCGGGAGAACGTGCAAACGATGTGGAAAGGTTTCAACCCCGACGGAATTTTCGGGTTTTATTTGTTGCAAAAACTCGCATTATGTCCTTATTTCTCTTGTGGCGTCTGTCCATCATTTACAATATTCCAATAAGATACACGGAATTGTGTTCATAATGTGAAACAAAGAGCATAAGTTCCAGGAGCGTGAGCGCCTTTGCGAGACGCCGTCTATTCCCCCCTCCGCCATGCTACTACGCATCTGCGTTGGCGGCTGTGCCATTTTTGTCCACATGATGGCGCTTGAGCATCGGCGGAAAACGGAACCTCGGAGCGAAATAAATGAAGCGAAACGGAAGGCTGCCGCACACACACACACATACACGCACCCGCACACACAACACACACACACACCACACACACGCACACACAAGCGCTTAATCTCCACCTCTCTCTCCCTGTCTGTCTATCCTCCTCCGCTCCTACGGGCTGCATCGGAGGCAGCGCGGTGACAGGCGGTGTGAACACTAGGAGCAGAGAGGAGAGCAGCTCCGCTCGGTCAGACCGCGGCCAGCCAGCGGAACTCGCTCCAACCTCGTTACGCAAATTACCGGCAGAGCGGCGCGGCAGTGGGTCCGCTAATGGAGCGTGCGTGCTGCTGGCTCTCCGCGCTCCTCCTCGCCCCTCGCCTCCGCCTCTCCGCGGCACATAATGGGCTGTGGGCTGCAGGGAGGCATTCACCGGGGAAGCGCTATTACTCACTCAGACACACGCGCACACACACAGAGGCGCTCACACACATACACACACACACACACACACACACACACTGAACGGACTCCGCAGCGCACAGACACCTCAATGTGCAGCCAGACTAATTATTAACAGGGCGAGCGCACTTACACCCACCCTTTTTGTAACATCAAAATAAACAACAAGGAGATTTACTGTTTTTTTTTTCTTTTTCGTAGAATGAAAACATGCTTGCAAAAGCAGTTTACCTCGACGCTCGGCTCTAACGTTTCAGTCCATTTCAGCATCAGAGGGCCTCAATAACAGAACCACCTGTCTGTATATTGCGTTACATGTCACCAGCCCCCCAAAATAATCTATACTGTTGATTCAACAGCTCTCCAAACAGCTTCACCAATGACTTAGCAATATTTACTTTGAAAGTCTGGACTTATTCTGCTTTATTATTTATTTTTTTGTTTGTTTTTTTTATCTTTTTAGCGCTTTACTTTTTCAACAGACTGTGTTGTTCTTTAATTAAAAAAATAGATATTAATAATTAGCAATCAGTCCAAATTTTCCATTTCAAAATTTCAGACTTTTCCATATTCCATTAAAATATAAGTTGATCTAGAGAACCCTTTTACTTTTTGTGTGTTTTCCAAAGCTGGGTTGGGGATCCCGCTTTGGGTCCTGAATAAACACGTTTGGGGTCTTGAGATCTTCTTCATAAATTAATCAAAACGGAGAAAATGATTCACTAAAAGCACACCTATGCTTAAAATGTTGAAATAAAAGAAATATGTTAACATGGGCGTTTTAAATGATTTAGTAAAAACAATTGAAAGGTGAAAAACTGGCAATTGGACTCAAATGTTTCTTTCACATTTCACTCACTCTAGTGTGAGTGAAAAGCTAAACTTTCTAGAAATGTTCCAGTTTGTCCACAGTCATCCAGATTGTTTGGAAAGTGGTTCTGAAGAAGATTTCTTGCTTTTCAAGACTGGGTGGGAAATCTACATCTGGAACATTCTGCTTTGGCTAAATTGGATCATCGTGGAGATTCTCAAACATTTGACATTTTAAACCACAAACCGATGATCAAACAACTGCGACCATGACCCTTGACCCTGGTTAATGTTTCCAATTACAGCAAATAATCAGTCATAGCTACTTCTGCTATTTTTTTATTTTTTATTTTTATACTTGTAACGATTACAGTCAGAAATGTAACAAGTTATTGTTTAAAAATACGAGTTCTGATTGATTTTATGGAATATCCCTCAATTATTCTCAAAATTTTCACGGAACAGTCGGAAAGAAATTACGAACTTATCCTGTCAGAGCTTATCTACGTTTTGAAAATGTTATCTTAAAAGACACTGCACTTCATTCATAATTCAAATAGTTTATTTAAAAAAACAACAAAAAAAAAAAAAACAAAGGAGCGGCCTGAGCGTTTAGGAGTCTCGTTTCATTCATCACCTATGAGTGTTTGATTAAGAATCCTTGGCATCACATTTGAATACTCGGTGTACTTTGGAGTAAAATGCGTGAGCTCAGAGACAAACATTCTCTGACTCTTGTCGCCACTCCGGTATTTGTCACATCAGCACACTAAAAATGTGAAGAAATGTCTCCTGCACAATGTCTCATCTAAAATATGCTTTTAATTACTTTTTGTTTTTATAAAGGAAAATATGTTTACTGGAGCTTGCAAAGCGGTTCTACTGTTCTAACCGAACTGGATTTCTGGATTTTAATCTTGAAAATTCAATACATCAAAAGTGATGGTATGTAAAAT